TTTTTTGTTCAGGAATGTAACTCTGGGGAGTACTTATTTAACTTGTTTTTTCTTTTTTTTTTTGCATATGGAATCATTTTAAGCATATTGCTACTTTTTTGAGGATTTAATTTACGGACTTTTAATCAGAAACTCACTCACCTCACACACACACACACACACACACGCTAGTACAAGTACACACGCGCTAAACACACTTCAAAAACAACTTTTCAAAAATGCGAATCAGCTGTTTTGCTTTAGTCTTATTATTATTATTCCTCTGACTGCTGTTCCCGTTGCTGGAGTTCGCATTGCTCCTCTCATGTGTCTTCCCCCTTGCTCTGCGCTCTCAGCGAATTCGCAGACAAAAACAGAGACAGTGACAGGAACGGGGGGGGGGGGGGGGGGGGGGGGGGGGGGGGGGGGGGTGAGAGTGACAGTGAGAGGAAGAATGCGAGAGGGAAAAGCTCCGCTCAATGGACAGGAACACAGTTATTCTATCAACTAGAAAACAGACTTGGGTAGACACTCACGAGAATGGTTTTTAAAATTCCATGGAACTCCAATGGAATTTTCTGTTGCTGGACACTTTCCACTACAGACGCGCGCACTTGGTTTGGAAACTTTCTTCTTGATCGACACCTTCGGGGCTGTGCTGTACTGCCAAGGCCGGGATGCAGGCAGAGTGCTGGTGCTGTGCTGTGCTGGAGCGGACAGTCTCGGACGAGCGCTAGCTCTGTAATGACTTACTACCTCAGCTAATTGAACGTTTTTATAATTCTGTTTCTGTTTCTGTTTCAGTTTCTGTTTTACTCACACCGGTGCGCAGGCGGACGCGGACAGAGGAAACACGAAGCGAAGCGTCGTTCGCGCATTTGATTCATCGGCCGAGCGGCAGCGCAGAGAGGAGGCCTGCTCGTTGGCCGTTTGGGTGGTGGGTGCTGAGTGCTGAGTGCTGAGTGGCTGGGTGGGTGATAGGCGACAGTGATAATGGCCAAGTTTATGAGCAGCGTTAAAACCAATTAAACGATGTTTTTATAACAGCAGCGACAGCACCCACAACGTCAGCGTTGAAGCTGCGCCTGAGGATCACAGAGGCTTCATTGGAACTGGAGCTTTGGCTCAGTTTTCGGGTGCGTGCGAGTTTCCGTTTACCGGTTCAGGAGAGCTGCGAGCGCTCTAAGCTCCGCGTGCAGCTGTTCTCTCGTGCTCTCCGGCATGTCACTCACGTGCGCCCTGTCTTATTCTGGCACTGAGAGGGAGAGAACAGACAGTCGAAAGTTATCTCCAAGCGCATGAGAGACGCATGAGATCTCCCGACTCGCGGTGGTGTCGATGCGAAGCTTTTACAATATTGACAGGCCTAATCAGGAGATTTACAGCAAAGACGTCAGAGCTTTGGGGCCATGCAGAACAGAACCAATAGAGCAGGAATGTCCCGTGCAAAACAGCTTTGTAAACTGTGCCTTTTATGAACCAATATCCCAATCCAAATGCGTGCAATTAGTGGGCCGTAAAGTGAGTTTTGACCAACGATAAGACGATTGGGGCTGGACTGGGCCGACCACCTTGTATCAATCTGATTTCGGGTCTATAAAGAATCGTAAAACATAATCTTGGCAAACAGTAGTTCCACAACTGGACAAGGCTACTGCTACGGCCATCAATGACCCACCACCGTTATATGGGGAAAACCTAATCACATGATGCCGGATTGGAGTGCGGATTAGCCCATCGACAGAGCTCGGGGCGTAGTAGATTCCTCAGAGATCGCTCCCTATCGCCCAACGCCCATCGCCCATCGCCCATGGTTTATGTGACAGTCTCGAGTGCGTTTCAATGGCCGATGCCAAATCAAATGCCCATTTCTGCTCTAAAGGAATTATCTGATTATTAATTATATTTTGTCCATCGAGATAGGCGGCCCTGCGTGTTTAATGACGGAATAGCAGCCAGAGGAAGATATTCCAGCGCCGCATTTGATCCATTATCACTTTGGGGCCTGTCGTTTGACGCAATTAATAATGTGGCTCTCTTTGTGTGAGGACTTCTACTGAAGGCAGATAACGCAGCGGTTTGGAGGGTACGATTGCTTTTCTTTAAGGTAAACAACAAGGGGGACAAGTTCGTCTTTTAGATTATCACTTATCATTGATGATATTTCAAGTGATTTTCCATTGAAATGTGAGTCAGCAACTCCACAAGTACGAGGTATCTGTTCACATTATACAGAACTAATTTAATTAATCGGCAGTTTGGTTCCAGCACCAACTGGATCTCCCAGCAAACAACAAGACAATCATTCGATCATCGCCATCGATGATGACATTCCACCTGATGCTCTACTCTCTTCTCGCCCACGGCTGGGCCACTACGCCCTATCCCCCCAGTCTGGAGTGCGGTCCCAATGCCGCCAAGGCAAACTGCTCCTCCAGGTGCGAGGAGACCTGCCAGTACAAGTCCCGCAGCTGTCCGCCAACGATCTGCGGTGGTCCCTGCGTCTGCCTCGAGGGCCATGTGATCGATGAGCGACGATCGGGTTGTGTCCTGCGTAAAGACTGCCGGCAGAAGCAGCTGGAGGTGCCCACGTACCAAGTGACCAGTCTGAAGTACTTCGGGGCCAACTATGGCAACGACATTATCCCCCCCGAAGGGAACGACACAGCAGGTTGAGTGGGAATATCAATTGTCAAATAAATCAGTGCCGAGCTGCATATCGGATGCCGCGACTGATGGCTGCTTAGTGGGAACAGCCCGGACCCCATCAGAGACGGCTCTAGCGGAGGGTAAACATGGCCATAAACCGCCGTATGGCTCGGAGCTGTATGGTGGACAGCCCGGCCCACTTGCAATTGGGTGCCGTGCGCCTGGCTGGTGCCCCGATAAGCAAACGTGCCGCACATCGGCCGAGCCAGGTCCGCACGTTCACGTGATGTGCACGCCGATCTATCCTCCGACACTTCATCACCCATATATTAGCGATAATGAATAACAAGCCAACAATGGCACTGGCTGATGGGTGCTAAATGTTGATACAACCAGCTTATCTTGTCACCGATATTGGCCCCAGACATCCACCCAGATTTGCTAATGGTGATGAGGCACGCCCCATGACTGAAGCCTTAGACTGACTGGCAAACAGACTGGTTTAGCCTGTGGTCTGTGGTTCGTACAGAGACGCGCCAACAATGAAATCTTAATCATCTCTTGTACAAATTAAAGCTCACAAATGTGTGCTGAAGGGAAATATTGTCTCTGTCATTGCTCATCCGTCGAGAGGCCTTTGCACGGCGGCACTCGATCGAAAGGCCAAAAGTATGCTATGAATGAATCCGCAATGATTCCGTGGTGAATAAGAGCAGGCAGCAGTAATGAAGTACCCAAGTTCCCATAATAATATGTCTAGTTGGCTTTGCTTGCTGAGAACCCCTGGGGCAACCTCTCACTAACTTTGATTCTATTCCCAGAAACTGAAGCATACAAACCGTGTCGTGTCTCTCTTCCCAAAATCAATGAAAACATATGCAACCTTTTCTAATTTCTTTGTCAGTTAAATCCTTTCTTCTGTTTCGAAACACACAAAAGCAACAATAAAATGCCTTGCACGGTAAACGACATAAGCGGCGGATCGTCGCGCTTCCGACCGGTCGTACGCATCGGCAACTGGTTCGAGGAAAACTGCCTCGAGGAGGTAAGCCATTGAGAGACTCCAGTTACAAGTGATCAGCCATGCCCTTTTGCTAGGACAAAGTGCGCAGCTTTAAGAACAAGCGCGATAGGGGCGAGCTGCTGGTGGAGAAGGCTCGCATACTCTACGACAACTTCCACAAGGAGATCGTCCTGGCAGCGCCAAAGGAAAACGTCATCTTTGGAGCGGTCGTCCAGCTGATGCCCATTGCCATGAACCTCGAGAATATGAACACGGCCGACCTGAACCTCGCCCTTTCGGTGGTGATCAACGAGCGGGTGGTGCGTCACAGCCAGAAAATCAACGATGACTGCGAGCTGACGGTGGCTCCCTCCACCCGGGCCTGTCTACGCAACTCGTTCCGCATCGTCAGTGGCGACGAGCACGATCGCACTGGACAGGACATCAAGTACGGGCAGCGCTTCCGACTGGAGTGCATGGAATCGGGCAGTGATCCCATCATGCTGTACAGTGCACCCAAGAAGGTCAACCTAAACCAGTCCATCGATGCGACACACCAGTCCCATAAGAACGGCGAGCTCAATTTTCCCCTGGGTCTTGTGCATCGCAGTGTAAGTGGCTGACGAGTCCATCAACACTCTTTTATTGATGGCTTTTTCTTCATCCACAGCGCTGTGGCTGTCCGGGCGGGGACCTGCCGATGGCCTTTACCAACTGGTTCTGCATTCACGTCGATCGTAACAGGCGCTTCGAGAGCGAGGGCGAAAACATACCCGTAGGTATTGATGAGCTTCTTCATGAACTTATTCCAGCCAAATTCTCTTCCAGAGCAATGCACCAATGGTGATTGTCCATGCGGCGACCAACCGCAATCTGGCCGCCGAGAATGTGGTCATCCAGACGCTGTTCGGCCCGGAGTTCCTGGTGTCCGTGCAGAACTATCGCAACATCTACAAGCGAGAGCTCTGGAAGAACGTGTGGATGATCAGCAATGGCCACCAGGCGGGCCACATCAGCAAGAAGACCTAAACCACAAATTCCCTGTCCCAACAAACTCGCGCGAGTTACGCATTAAATAAAGGTCGCTGCAATTAATTGCCGGGTGAACTTGGTTCTTATGTCTGATAAGCAAACAAATTTCGCACATGGAACTGTGTCAGCCGAGCCGAGCCCCTGCGGTTTGGCCCAGATAATACCCGGCAGTGGGTGCGCTTGTATTTCAAATGGAGAGAGGGAATCAATGAGGATAGTTGCATAGTTCAAATCAGCACTATTCGGGAAGCATTTCCTATCTTTATTGCAGATTCAAACCACGCCCACCCACCTCAATCCAATTCGCATATGAAAGTGTGCCAGTCCGGTGATAAAAACTTGCACGAAAAAGCGCCGGAAAGACCTATAAATAGGCTAAAGGCAGCCACGGTCTGCACACTCATTCCCAATATGTCTCCGGTTGCAAGTCTTGTAGCTCCACTGCTCCTGCTGATCGCCACGACCTCCGCTCCTGGGCAAGCCAGCCCGGCGGATACTTCGCGAATCATTGGAGGAGAGTTTGCTGGACCCGGGCAGTTTCCGCATCAGGTGTCCCTGCAGTTGAATGGACGCCATCACTGCGGCGGCTCGCTGATCTCAGACACGATGATTGTCACTGCCGCCCACTGCACAAAGGACCAGAACCCTGCCAACATGAAGGCCATTGTGGGCACCAACGATCTGAGCGCCGGCAATGGGCAGGTCTTCAGCATTTCCCAGCTAATCATCCATCCGCAGTACAATCCCCAGAGCCAGGACTTTGACATGTCGCTGATCCGGCTAAGTACGCCCGTGCCCATTGGCGGTGCTGTCAAAACGATCCCGCTGGCCGACGCGGACTCCAACTATGCCGCCGACACCATGGCCACCATCAGCGGCTTTGGGGCCATCAACCAGAATCTTCAGCTGCCCAACCGCCTGAAGTTCGCCAAGGTGCAGCTCTGGAGTCGTGACTACTGCAACTCCCAGAACATTCCTGGTCTCACCGATCGCATGGTGTGTGCTGGTCATCCCAGTGGACAAGTCAGCTCCTGTCAGGGTGACTCTGGTGGCCCGCTCACTGTCGATGGCAAACTCTTCGGCGTGGTCTCCTGGGGCTTTGGATGTGGCGCCAAGGGACGCCCAGCCATGTATACTTACGTAGGTGCCTTGCGGTCCTGGATCAAGCAAAACGCAAATGTTTAATCGGCATGGAAATTACTGACTAAAAACGAAATAAATAAATTCAAACCTTTTTGCAACTTAATCATTGCGGTTGTTTCATTGAATCCAGTCTCTGAGCGGGTGAAATGTCACTCTGACAAAAGCTGAAATGTGTGAACCACTGTTGTGCGGTGGCGCCATCTCTTGGCTTTTGTAGTTTCATCATTGCCCGCAGGCAGAATGCAAGCGCCACAGCAGGCTACTTGAATTTCATTCGCAGCTGGTACACAAGTTCGTTGATGTATTCAATAAATGCAGCCTACATCTAGATTACTTTCGTATATTTTATTTATAACTGCATCTGCCGCCTTGTACAATTTCAATTCATTGCTACACATTCACTACACACTTAGTACAATAATTCTTTAGGGTTTATGTTTAAAAAAAGGTTTCTCGACCACTCGCTTCCTATGGCTTTGGGTGTTCGTACGCTAAATTGTAAATGCCGCCTAGTGAAGCGCTTTGTGTGAAAAAATATCAAATTAAGAGGCGCAGGCATTCTGCAGCAGTGTTCTGCTTCTAGTTAGTGTTTGTTATTCTGTATAATATTTAGGCTTTAGTCTCGAGAATAAAACAGTATTTAATCCATAGTTATGTACACATTCTGCAGGATGCGATATGAACAGTATAAGTAGTATGTGGTATATACACAGTCGCTGTGATTGTGACACCTAGCCTAATGCTAGAGGAGTACGATTGCGTTGTACATACATGTATGTATGTAAGTGTGTGTTTGTCCGTTATAAGTAGAAGGCACTATGCACATTTGCATTAACTAACTCTAAAGATCTGCTCAGTGATATCTGCAGTCTGGAAACTGATATTTTGTGTGTATGTAAGTACTACTACAAGCTGGCTACAAGTGTCCAACGCATAGGATATGTTGTCGTCTCGATAACTCAACTCAACGAAACGAAACTAAACGAAATGAAATGCAATCCAATCCAACAGAGGAGGAGTACAAAAGTACAAAAACTAGACATCTAAACATACATAATTTGGCATAAGGTCGGTTCTCCAACGCACTTAACAAATACAAACTAAAAAAAACACAAACTTCAGCGTCTCGCTTCGTCGGACATACAAATAAATAAGTTGCAAATTTTGGTGTGCCATCTAACGATAGTGCTCCCATGCAGATCCAGTGTAGGAAGGAGTAGGTAGGTGGACAGATAGGTGGTAAGTGGGAATGCTGCAGCTAGGGGCAAAACAAAGGCTATCACCGAATGCTTTCCGACCTAGACTCTTAGCCTAAAGCTTACGCACTAGAAACATATTTGGAATGGGGCTTTCGCAAAGCCATTTGATGACAATATATAAAAATTCATGATTCATATCCGTACATCGGAAAGCGTAGGGCTACGCGCTCCGTTGGATCATCCATCATCCAACACACTTTCCATAAATTGTGCTAAACGTTTACAAATGTAAATGCAAAAATTGCGCTACGACTTCATACGACTTTTTGGGCCAGCACTCATCCTGGCTTGTCCCGGATTCTATGCCTAACGGCCCCAGAGCATGCTGACTTTAGGCCTACAAAACTTATAGCTACTGTACAGCAGTCGTTCTCTGTTTTCCCAGTGTCGGTTCGTCCGTCTGTCTCTGTGTCTCCGTAGATCTCTTCGTGTGTGTGTGTCTGTGGTTCCTTATAGCTATGTAACGTGATTTCTGTCGCCTGGAAACACATAAATTTAATCGTATTTATAGAGCATGGCACAGAAATGCGGATACCAGCTAACCTCCCCCAATTTCCCGAAATTGTTCTGCCTATTGCACATGCCTGGAATAGAAGGGGAATTCTATTCCAATTCCTGCTTCCACTCTGTGTCCAGTTTTCGATGCCGCTTCTGTTGCTGCTATGCTCGCCTGTCTCGCTGTCGTTGGCGCTGCGATGTGGGCAACAGGAGGTTGCCCCTCGCATAGAAGTAGCCTCACAACTTGGAGCTATCGTAGCCCTCCAGCACCCACTCCTGGCGGGTCAGCGAACTGCCGCACTCCTCCATGAGTACCTTGTCCTTGGCCTCATTGATTGCCAGACATTTGCCGGAGGTGCCGTGGTGCAGTTGCTTGGTGTTCTCACGATATGTCCAGAACTGAAATGCAGTCTCGATTAGCTCACATTACATGCAAAATACTTCAACAGTCTCACCTGATTTCCCTTGCCGCCGTGGCACGAGTAGAGCACCACGTCCTTGCCGGCATAGTCCAAGCAGAAGTCGTCGCGCCGTATTTCTCCAGTCTTGCTCAGCATCCAGTACTGTAGGAGTGCGGAGAGGAAGCACACATTAATATTAATTGCGGTGGAAGCGGATGGATGCGGTGGGTCTGCCAATTGCCAAGCCAAAAGTTTTGCCAGGACTACAATCGCACAACTTATTACACGAGCAATCTTTTATTCAATTAAAAGCCAAAAAGCAGCTCTCTTTCTCTGTGTGTGTGTATGCTGTGTGTGTGTGTGTGTGTGTGTGTACGAGAATCTCTGTGTGGGTCTGGTCATGATTATTTATAATTTAAACCACGTTGCCAAAGCCAGATGGCAGACAGGCACCTCGGAACGAGTGTTCCGAATCCGGTTCCTGACTCTGTGGGCCCTGATTCTGCGGGCGACTGAGAATTACTTTGTTTGCCCTGCCCTGCCCTGCACAGGGCTACCGCCCAGCCTGCCATGCTCTCGTTGCCAGCTCGTGACCAGCAGCCATTTTGTGTTGTAACCAATTCCGTTTCCGCGCCCGCTGTCCGCCCGCACCATCGTCCTTATTCGTTTTATAATGATGCCAGGACTGGAATAATGATGAGCCGGTCAATGGGGGTGGGGCTGGTACGGGATGGATAATTACAGTTATTGTTTTAACTCTCGAATTTCGGTATTTTTGTGTGCCTTTAAGTATCTCCGGCTCCTATCGCGTGTTGGCTACAGTTTCTGCCTGCAATCGAAGAGAGATCTCTGCCAGAGCTGCCTTACAGTTGCGTCACGTAGCTGCTCCTCCTTGCGGATAGTTCTACTTCATATTCATTCTTGCTTATTGTTTAGTCCTTGTATCTGTCCCACCCACTCTCCAGTCAGCATTGGTGTTCACGATTTGCATTTCTGTTCCTTTTCCTTTTCCGTTTCCGTTTCCCTCTCCTTCATTGCTTTCCCCGCTGTGTGCGTGATGCGTTTTTAATTACGTTTTTGCCTTGGCGCTTTACAGTTCCTTTTTTTATAGCTGGAGTATTTTTTATGAAGCTTTCCTTATACCCTTGAAGCTTGGGGACTATTATGATGCTGAACCCATGCTGCTGGCAACGCTTTGAGGAGGAAAAAACATGCAATAATCTCTCGTTTGATGTCTTTTATCCCTTGGAATCACAACCGATCTTCAAGGGTATCAGGCACTTCCGAACGTGAGAGTCTGTATCTGTGTTCCGGTTTTTTATGCGCTCCCTAGCTGAACCAATTTGTTTGCTGTCCGCACACACAGACACTCCTAGTCGCGTTTTTCATGGCTGCTGAAACGCTTTCATTGTGTGGACACTTGGCCAGCAGTCAGTCAGGGAGCATGCAAAAACTGTTCACAGGTTGCCAGATCCTTTGATGCAGTCCTTCCCCGCCATCCGCTGGCCGGTGCACGAAATTGTGTGCGAAATTAAAATGTTGCGTACAAAAAAGCCGCGAGAACGCCTCCATTGGGGAAGCTCAAAACGCGCCCTGAGTTGGCAGCAGACGCTTTGCGTCGCTTTGCGAATGTTGATTATTTCATTCACAGCCGCATTTCCGAGTGCAAACAAACATTTGGAGGATTATTTTTTGGTACTTGAATGCGGCCATGTGTGTGCTTGTCTGTGTGTGTGTATCTGGGGGCGGTGTGTATGGTTGTAGGCATGGCCTAACCCACTGTGGTTGTTGTTTGCTGCTGTCTGGGCCAGCGCCAGCGCCAGCAGAACGGGGTCAACACTTTCTCCCCCCCCGCGCCGCACTTAAATGCTGAATATACAAATATCCTGCAAAAACACACACACAAAACGCACACATTGACAAAGTTTGCGTGTCTGTGTGGTGCCTGTGTGGTGTAAAGGATTCTGTTGTCTGTTGCAGTTCATTCGCTTGCAGTTTTGCTTTGTTGCCGACTTGCCGAGTGTGTGTTGTTCAGTTGTCAAAAATGCTTGTTACTTAAAGGGTTCCTTTTCCTTTCGCTCATGGACACATTTACACGCTTGTTGCTGCAGCAGCTGTTGCCGCATGACACACACACATACACACAGCTGAGGCCAAAGCGATGCATCAAATGATTTATCATTCGCAGTTTTATTTATGATTGCGTTTTAATTAATTCCTGTGTGACATGCCATAAATCGACCAAAAACAAATAAAACGTATACCCAAATATCCTGTCAGTGTGTGTGTGTGTGTGATTGTATCCTGCAAAACTGTTAAATTGGCAACACTTGCGCATAAATGGATACTTTCACTTATGTGGCTATGCCGAATAAAATGTAAATTGAATTTGAAATTGATGTTCGTTCAATGCTTAATAAATGCCAGAATGTATTACACTAGCCACAAACTCCGTCAAAATTAGTGCTCAAACCGCAAGGACCTTCACAAAGGGTAAAAAAACAACAAACAACGACAAAAATACGATTATTGCTGTCAGTACTCGCGGGCGAGGATCCACTTTTAAAATATGTTTCCGGAGGCACAGACACCAAAAATAAAAACCAAAACAAACAAAAATGGGGGCAAAATTCAAATCAAAATTCGCAGAAAATCAGAGAAATACTTAAAGGGGACTAATAGGAGACTAATAGACTTGAACCTGAACCTCTTTAGTGGGATTTAGTTCATGGCGATGTTACATGTAGGAGGAGTGAGTGGTCAAGTGTCAATTGGATATTGGATAATGGATTCATGTGTGGCGGTTTTCGCTTTGGTATTAGGTAAAAGCAAGCAAAGAATTGATCAAAAATAAGGCTGGTTAAAAAGCACTCAGGAAACCAACAATTCAAAATTTCAACAAAAGCGGAGAGCAAGAAAATAAATGTTATGGGGAACGAGGAGGAGGGCCGTCTATGCCTCCTGCTGCCGCCGGAATGTGTGTCGTGGAGTGGCTACCTGATTTCCTCCTTGGCCGTGACACGGATAAACGGAAAGAGGTAGGTCATCTTCCATCTTTTCGGGAAGATCTAGGCACATGCTTGACGGTTCGTTACGTATCTGTAAGTGAGGTTCATGTTGAGAGTTGATAGAGCGTTTGATCTGGGATCTGAGATCTGCGAGAGCTGTTCAGAGAGTATCAAATGTGTTCGTAGAGTTGGAGGAGGAGAAATGCCACCACATTGCCAGAAATACACAAGTGGAGAAAAGTGTTAGTTTGTTTCTTTTTGGGGACATTTCGTTTAGTAACAGCGAAGGGGGGGGGGGGGGGGGTATTTTTCTTTTTTGCTGCTTGTGCTTGAACGGAGTTTGTGGCGGTCGCAGGGCTGCTGGGAGATTGCTGCAAGGAACACAAACCTGATTGCCGCCCTGTCGATGGCACGGGTAGAGGCCGACGGCCTTCTTCTGGTGCTTCTTGCCGGTGGGTGAGTCCAAGCAGGTGCGACCGCCATAACCTAGGTTTCGTATCTGCGAATTGGGATTGATATCGTATCGAGTGTTCGAGGCAGTTGTCGGAGGTTAGTGTTTCAGTTGGGTTCGGGGTTGGTCCGAGGGGTTGGGTGGGTCTGTGGGTACAGCACTGGGGAAACCGAAGAACTTACCTCGCCCTGGGCCACCGCATCGCCGGGTATGAAGAGCTCGGGATAGATGTTATCCAGATACCACTTGAAGCTCTTGCACTGCAGGTCCTCCCTGGTGTGAGCATTTCGGATGATGATTTAGGTCTACGGTTGCCACTTTGCTGTACTTACCGCAGCTTCTTCCGATCGCTGACGTCTCCAAAGTCGCCCTTCTCGTTCCCAATGCGATAGTAGTAGTACTGCGCGTAATCGTCCAGCCACACCTCCGCCAGACGCACCGAGTTCTTCCGCAGCACATTCACGCCCGAACGCCACTGCAATAAAAGGGAAAGCATGAGAGAGAGAGTGAGAGTGAGAGAGAGAGAGAGCTGGTGAGTGGAAAGTTTCAGCACAGGCCAAGGCAAGCGCAATCACTGAGCGGGTGCCCGAGTCAATGGAAATATTTGGTCAGCAAACAGAGTCAGAGGCAGAGGCAGAGGCAGGGGCAGAACAATGCAGTTGGAGCTCTCGACGATGTCCAGGTGGTCCAGAGGTGGACAACAAAGCCTAATTACCTGAATGAGTGGCTTTTGCTTAGTGGCATTATGTACGGCTGCTGCTGGTTGCTGCTCCTCCATTTCCTGCCCCGCCCTGTTGTGGTTATCTCTGTCCTGTCTGTCCTTGCCTTCCCTTCACTTCACTTCACTTCACTTCACCTCCTTCTTGCCACCCTTCATGGGCATTGTCCGCCTGTTCTGTGTGTGTCTTGTTCTGTGTTTAGGTCTGGCGGGGATACAGGGACAGGGACAACGATGGTGGCTCTGCCAGGAGTGCAAGATTTAGTGTTTTTGCACTTGACGTTTATTGAAATTGCCATACCTTTTTGGTGCTGGCAGGGCGCTCCTCTCCACAGTCGATAACTAAACGACAAATGTGGTCGGTCGTTCAGTAATTCATCGATAAGCAAACGAACTAGTTGCCATTTACGGGTATACACTCTCTCTCCCATTTGGCTACATTGCCGAGCTCTCAATTAGTTTTCCTTTGTTCTCTGTCTGAGATAAACTCCCAGGGGATTTGGCTGTTACCCAAAGGGACTGGGACTGGGACCGGGACCGGGACTGGTCTCGTGTTAGCTCCACTCTGAAGCTCTGTGTGTGTGCGTGTGTTGCGGTATTGACATCCAAACAGTTGCCAAACTTTTGTCAAGCGTAAACCGTTGATAATTGAAGCAGCCCCCAAAAGGCAGTGGCAGTAGTTCCACGAGATGGAGGAGCAAAGCACACACATGGCAAAGACAGCCGCAATGCATGTCCATGTCGAGGTCGGGCTACGCTCCATTCATGTTGCTGCTTTTGCGGCTGGCATTGGCACGAGGGAGACTCGAGCATGGGAATGGGAATGGGAATGGGAATGAGTAGAGTATGTGGTTATGGCTGTGTGTGTGTGTGTGTGTGTGTACGAACAACGAGGATTGTGCCACTGTTGACCAAACACGAACCTCGGCGGGCAACTGGTAACTGGTCCTGAGGCTGGCCACACAAAGCGATGCCGAGCACACAGGACAGGGTAAACAGCACCCCGCACCCCGCACCCGGCACGTGATGTTGTGTAAGAGCTTTAAATTCTTTTGGTCTTTGCCCCAAAAGCTTCGGACCCACTTCCGTGCCACACTCGTATCCACCCCGAGGGTCGTTAATGAGGAGCAGTCGGTGCTCGGTCGCTGCTCGGTCGCTGCTCGGTCGGTGGGTGGTGGTTTGAGTATATCAATATTGGTTTTTGGGGCCACTGGCCACATTCATTGTTCAGCAATTTCTCTTGGAAATTGCCGGTTTTGGCCCTCTCGACAATTGATCGTTGACACTCACCTTGTAGGGTGAACGTTTGCGGAAGATGTGGCCCACGTGGGAGCAGGGCACAATCTCCAGTGTGCCGCCGCACATCCAGGTCTTGAAGGACAGCTCCAGATTCTCGCCGCCCCAGATGTCGAAGCCGGAGTCGTAGGTCCCCAAATGGTTGAAGAACTCCCGATCTATCGAAAACAGTCCGCCGGCCATCGTGGGCGAGTAGACGGGCTCCGCTGTGCTCTGAAAAAAGAAGGAACAACAAAAGGGATAGCATCAAGTGGGTAAAGTTTTAATTTCACTAATTGATACTCTCGGGCAGAGGCTCTCGTGGCTCTCACATTCGTGCCACAAGTGTCTTGCACCTGAGCAAACTTCTGCTCAAGTACGGGGAGCAGTCCCTTTTCAGGTGAAAGTTTGTTTTTGCCGCTTTTTTTGGTTACTCTCAACAGCTTGCCACAAAAGTGCTTCAGGCTACGTTTTATTTAGTACAACATTTTCACTCCCTCTCTCTGGCTCTCTTCACACCCTTCATCTGGGTTTTCCGACACAACATTTTGTTGTAATTGAATACTGCCCAAACTTCCTTGGGGGCAACGAATTTCTGCATTTAATTGCAGAATTTCATTCCGTATTTCATTGCAATTTAATTTCAGGAATATTCTCGATTTGTTTCGAATGCCAGAAGCAGCTGTTTGTCCGCTTGCAACATATAAAATAATTAAAAATAAATACACTTTGCCAAAGGAGGTTTTCCTTTCTTTTTTCTGTTTCTGTTTTTGTGCTGGCTGCTTTGTTTCGTAATTTGGTTCTTGTTCAATGAAACAGCAAAATAGAAAAACAAAGCAGCGAAATGGAAATAAACAAGAGCGGAAATTCACGCGGGATACCCTCGAAAATGTTTCAATTTTGGAGTATTGCACGAACAATCGAGTCAGATTGATGAATGAAATGAGTGGCAAATGGGTGAACTCTTCTCTGTCAGTCTTTCTGCGGGGAGTGCATCCTGTTCCCCAATCACCCCCGCCCAAAGGGTATCAACAATTGTGGAGGAACTTTAATAAATTAATGCTATGCATAAAATTGATTGTGATTGCTTTTAATTTCATGGATGGCTCTGGGGCTCTCGGGGAGAGACATCATAATAATTTCCATTATTATTAAATTATGCGAGAAATGTGCACACAGTAATTATTGTGTATACGCCATGTTGCGAGGGCCACAACGGTGCCACACAGCGGGGCAGCTAGTAATTGAGTTTCAGGAGAAGGAGAAGGAGAAGGCCACCAAGCGAGAGCAGAGCAGAGCGAAAGGTTGACAAACGTAAAACAGAAAACGAGAAAATAAATGAAATTGTCACAGAGATGGACTCACGCGCCGACTGGTGGAGTGGCAACTAAAAATGTGTAACAAGATGGAGACAAATCCAGGGAAAAAAGGACAACAAAGTGAAATCTCCGAATGCGACAAGTGAGTGCCAGCCATTGTGCTTTCTGCAGGGGAGTGGGTGGGCAGTGTGACATTTAATAAACGCCTGCAACAGAGAGAGATGCCCGAAAAAAAGGACGCGACAATGTGCCCAAATGTGCGAAAAGAAAACAGCACAAGGCATAAGGGATAGGGGATAAAGGATAAGGGATAAGGGATAAAGAGCGGCCATTTTGTTGTTGTTGTTGCCAACGGAAGTGACAGAACAAATAGCAAAAGTGAACAGTTAAGGGACGGGGCAGGCTGTGGGGGGGTTGTGCCTGTGGCTGTGGCTTGCTGCATGCGAGTGTAAAGAGAATCTTTTTATTGTTATAACCCGCGCACGCACTCCTCCTCCCAGCCGCCCACGAACGACCACGATCCAGCCGCCCATCCTGTGTTTCCTGCGTATCCTTCTTTTTGTTTGTTTTCCGCTTTCACCGCTCAGAGGAAATGGAAGTAAAGGGCACACACACACACACACACACACAACCACAAAGAAAAGAGAATTATTTATACACGAAAGATATAAAAAGAAAACGAATTTTTGGCGAACCGAAATGAAATAAAATGAAATGCAGCTCTGAATAAATAAATGTACAGGGAAATATATGAGTGAATCATGTTGCTGAAGTTGCAGTTGCAGTTGCAGTTTGTGCAAACAACGGGGCACAACTTTTCGCTTCCGTTCCTGCCTCCCGCATGTCCGCTTGCTTTTGCGGCTTAAATGATTTAAGAGCACACAAGCAAACAGAATTCTTATGCCCGAATGAATAATGCAGCACAGCGTTGATGGGGGAGGGCCGGAGAGGGCCCCCTACGAAACTTGCGACCACAAAAGAGAAAGCAAAAGCAAAAGCAAATTAAACAGCAATAAGCAGCGGATGGAAAGTGTCCTCAACGGGAAATCCCCTGGAGATTAACCACAATTTGTCCCCTTAAATGTCATTCGATTGAGCTTCCACTCCAGCTGGGAATTATGAATTCAATTTATTTCATTTAATTATGTAAATTATATTTCATGTAATAACAAAAAACCATTCAAACGGAAAAAACACAAGTTCATCTGCTGTTACAGAGATCGATGCACATAATTGTGTATAAAAAGGAATAAAGGATAAAATAGAACAAAGGCTGGCATTCTAAAGAGTAGATAAATTCCCAGGCAAAGCCTAGGAATTGCATTTGAATTGCTGCTTTATTTGTGTTTCAGTTTGGAGCCCCCCTAAGTGGCACACAAAGTGGAAGGAAGATTCATGGCCCTAAAGAAATCAATTTCGTTTGTGTGTCGAAATGGCATAAACAAGCAGCGCCAACAAATCTGGTCCTGGGGGACCAAGAAATAGAGCTTAAAATGACAAAATGTCAAAAGCAACTTGGGAACATTTCTCATTCTTGGTCTCGGCGGAGTGGGTCTCCCAAATGGGTTTGCCCATTTTTGAATATCAAAATAAATCCTATGGCATTCATAATGGCCAAAGAGTGTGACACACTTAGCGATGAACAATGGAGAGGTGTTCCAGGAGTGGAACACGCCACTCCATAGGCTCCACTTTAGAGTCGCTGTGGCTTTCAGCAGAGGAAACCACCACCCAGGACCTGGCAGCCACAGCCACATATCCACATTATCATCAAATAAAACAGTCACGTAGAGGAGACACCGAAAAAAATATATGCCCAGGAATATCGTAAATGTCAGGAGGAGCCCCTCAGTTGGGGGTGCACTTGGGAAGCTCCAGAGAGCCGCGGACCAAGTGCCGATGGGTCTCTTAGAGCACAGCAGGCAGGCAACGGCGGGAGGCAACACGCGATGATAATGTTTAATAAATGGAAATGGCAGGGTAACAAACAGGGGAGTACCCTGTTCAGGGAGAGAAATATTACCAGGAAGTGTATGAAAGATGTGCAAATGTCTCTCGAACTTAGTTACCCTCTTGCTACCCTCGAGTATCTGCCCGATGTGATGCTTCACAAAATAAAGAAGACGTTGTCGTTGTCGTTGTCGTTGTCGGTAAGCACCGAACAGCGAGACACGCGCCACCGAAATATGCAAAGCGGGAAGACAACAAAAAAACTGAATACAGGACTGAGGCTGAGGCTGAGGTTGGTTGACATAATGTGAAGTTTACTTTGACAAGTGCTTGCTGGGAGAACAGCAGCAGCCGTCACCACACTCCAACATGCATACAAATGTATCTGTGTGTATCTCCCTGCATGTGGCAAAGTGGCAACTTGGCGGGGCAACTTGAAGGGGTTTTATGTGCTCCACTGGCTGCGGGGCTATTTGCATTTCGAGTCAAGCACCGAAAAGTCGCAATCTTCGCCAAAGTGAATAGTTGGAGGAGTGCTTCAGGTCAGAGGCTGGCAGCCACTGCAGGAATCCTATTGCAAGAGTGTCTGTGGAGCACCATCTCCATCTCCAGCTCCGTCTCCAACTGAAGATGCAGGAAATCTCGTGCCTAAAGTTTCGGTTCCTCTTAATCCACTCAGCAGCATCCTTTCAGCATTCCTGTGCCCCGAATCGGGGGCGGCTCAAAAGCGTATTTAAATGTTTAATGTAGCATGCCACACCCACACACACACACACACACACACACAGATCTGAAGGGGTGTCCTGAGGTAAAAGTAAAAATTAGCATAAAAAAGTTGTTTCAGTGCTTTGCTGATTTTGCTTTGATTACCGGTTCACTGGACTGTTAGCAAATGCTTAACGTCTGTCCTCTGGTCCCCACATATGAAGGGGGGAGAGAGAGTCGGCAGGGGCGTCGACGGTTCAACTCATGGAAGGGGGAAAGCCTCGTTGGGCTATTCCGAACATAAAGAAGTTTGCAAAATGTGCGATAAATTCTTGCGTTAAATATCCTTTTTGGGACACCCCTTTCCGCCTGAGCCCCTGCTCCTAGCTGATGATGGGGAGGGGAGCCATAAAACCAGCCCCTTTAAGGCGCGAAAGCGCGTGCACAAAACTTTCGACATTTTTAGTACGCAGCGCATCCTGCCACAAGGACCTGGAGAGCAGTAGAGAGAGAGCGAGATCCCCAGGACCAAGTGCAATAAAAACTAAAGTGCAACTTTGCGTATTAAGCAGTAAAATCTGCGCCAGGGAAGCACCCAAGGAGCGGCAGGCGGCACGCAGCTTAACTGTTGGAAAATTAAAAGAAAATGGTCGCCGGCAGCCCGGACGAAGCCTCTTGACATCGCACCCCCCTAGGATATTACTAAATTACGTTGTCAAAATGGCGGAACACGTGCCTCGGACCGGACCTCGCTGAGGCAGCAGCTGCAGCAGCAGTAGCAGCGGGAGGAGCGGGAGGAGCGGGAGGTGGTGTGCTTGACCCGCCCAAGGACGTTTGTCGTGGTGCAAAAATGGTTGCTCGCTTATTTAATTTTCCGCAATGTTATTCAAGTTTTTAAGCTGACGCGACGTAAGCAAGCCAGCAGTAAGCAGCCCCCCCCCCCGCGGAATGCTCGGCATATTTCATGGCCCAAACTCTGGGGCAAAACTGATTACACGATTATCCTCCAGGCAGGCAGGCAGGCGGGCAGTAGCAGTTGGAGGGGTGCTTCAATCAGCAGGAGGCGAAGCAGCACGTTTACGCTTGGCCTTGTCCGCATCCGTGAACAGAGAGTGCCGAGAGAGCACAGACCTGATGAAACTGTAATTTTTGGCTATGCGAAACGCGCGCTCAATTTCCATAGTTTGTGTTGAGAGTGAGGCAGATGATGAAGAGCGGCATCAGGGCGGTAATAGGTGGCAACTGGGGCAGCCACTGCCA